CCCCCACAAACAGTCCTTCCCTTTCGCCAGTGTATTTTCCGGATGCTTCTCCAATAAACAAGCCTTGACCTTCACCAGCAAATCTGCCTGATGCCTCTCCTACCGATAGACCGTTGACATCACCACTGTATCTTCCTGATGCTTCTCCCACGTATTGACCCTCGGCTTTACCAGCGAATTGGCCTGCAATGTCACCAGCGTACTCGCCCGAAAGCTTACCGCGGAACTTGCCTGTAACATCACCGGCACCATGCAAGTTCACGCTCTCTCCTTCGTACTTCTGCCTTTCTTGAGCCTCCAGCTTCCCTTGCACGTTTTCGGATTTTCTGAAGTGCTGTGCGCTGTTGACGTAACCTTCTCCGCGAGGCTGGATAAATCCTATTTCGTGCCAGAGTTCGTAATCCCTCTCTTGGTGGTTTGCAGCAGCTATCAACGGCATCTCTGTAGTTGGTTTCTCAGATACTTCGACGGCTGCGTGTTGCCTCTCTTGCAAATCAGAGAAATCTTTACCATGGCTCTCGATGAATTCCCTGCCGTACTTGTCGATCAGCACCTTCACAGGAGTTTCGGTAGCTTCGACAATCTTCTCGTGTTCGACATGTTGCATGACGGGCATCTCGGTAGTTCGCTTCGCCGAATCTTCCATATGTCTTCCGTAACTCATGTATTCCTCTAGTTTCTCTGTCTCTTTGACAGGTCTTGCAGTCGTGTCTTCCGCAGGAACCTCACTTTCCATGGGTTTCCCATAATATGCGATGTACTCCTTCCCACGATCTTCGATAAACTCGACGTGATCTTCAGTGGTTCGCATGGGGGTTTCTGTCGTCATCATGGGCAGTGTAATGACCTGTGCAGGCTCTTCCGTCACTGCTACTGTGGTTTTTTCAATAGGCTCTCTCCTGTACTGCTCAAAGAAATCCCTTCCATGCAGTTCGATAAAGTCTCTCACAGGAACCACACTTGTTCTTTCAGAGGGTACCTCGGTGGTTTCTTCCACGATAATTCTAGTGACTTCTTCAACAGGTGGCACAGTTCTAGCCTCTTTTACGAAGATTTGTGTGGTCTCTTTGACAGGAATCGCCGTAGGTACTTCTACAGTAGTCCCTACACTTTCCTTGCATACATCGACAGCATACTTGTAATCACACAGTTGTCTGCCTTGATCGAATGCTAGGTCAGCTGGACAGTGCATAGTGATTTGACGCCCTTAATGTGCCCTATTTTGCACAGGAAGCGCAAGGAAGTGAAAATTACCGCTCGAGCAAGCATAGAACAGGTCCGTGCAGTTTCCGTAAGAGTAGAAACCATCTTTCTTGCACACGTCTGGAACAGACAGATGAGAAAGCGCACAACTGAAGAAGTGATAAGATGTTACCAACCAGACTCTTTGACCTGGTTGGCACACTCGGTCACGTCTCGTCCATAGTTGCAAACCCCCAACCTGGAAATTTGTAGATCAAACCTTGTACCAGAGCAAAGACACCGACTTGCCTTCTATCATAGATGAGCAGACCTGGACACTTCATAACCCGAGCTATGCCACCAGAACAGGTCAAATAGTACGAAGAGCAGTTCGCAAACTCGTAGAAACCGTCAGCTAATCCTTCGCAGCCTGTTGCAAAGCAAGGTACATACAAACAAAGTAGTCTGCAACTACCAAATCACCTTTCCCATTCAATATCGGCTCTGCCCCGGGAGATGCAGTAGACAAAGACGAACTTGTGGTGGCTTCACCAAGGGCACCAGGATTACATGACTCCAGCTTCGATGGCTCCACACATGAGTATCTCTCTCCATCGTAGACATAGTCTTCTGGACATTCCATGAGGCTGAAAAGTTCCGATTTACTTCCGATTCACCAGTGACCGTGGCGCCACGATGTAACATGCATGGTTTAGATCATGTTTCGATGAAACATGGAACAATTCTTCGTTTGCATACATGACTTGCCATCAATCTAAAATCCAGTCCATTGCAGTCCTTTCATATTACAAAAACTACCTAGCTATCTCCGACGTGCAGAGGATGACGGAAGGAGAGCATCCGGTTAAAGCATGCAGTCCTTCGGGGGCATATTCACAAAAGGCTCGCGGCAGATCTAAAGGTAGTCATGCTCCTCTATGCGGAATTCCAAACAATTGGAAATACCAGCAAGTGTCTCAATGTCCTCTTTCGATTGCTTTTCTTTCATAGAGCAACTTGAACTTATCCGGTAGTCTACGCATTCTTCAAGAGAATCCTCGAAAACCAAGTCGAACGGACACATTAGCCATATCTCTTTGCCAAGAGAGTTGCAGATTGTTACGTTTGACGAGCAACCCTAGAGTCTCTCACTGGCGGCTCTCTTCAAAACAACAGGATTAAAGTCAGCGAACCTGTCCAAATAAACCTGGCCTCCTTTCCTTGCAGAAATCAGTGCCCATTCTGCCCTCAGGATAAGGCAAAGCCACATTGGCTAGAAGTGTAAGTAGAGTGAGTCGAATCATGTTACAGTTGGTTAACCACTATAAAGGAGTACATAACTTAAGCAGGAATATGTGACACCGATAAGGAACTGCAAAGTTTAAACAAGAGAGACACTAGGGATCCTTGGTAACCACCTAGAATGAAGTGGAAGTTAAGAATGACCACATTGTCGCCCTTTATCTGAGTTCCATTGGTGATCTTTGTCGATCGCCCGCCAATTTTATGTGCAATCTGCTACTGTATGCTTGATAACCTAACTCATCTTAAAATATAGAGGTCGTCACCAGAGTTGAAGTCCTTATCAGCAGCAAATTCCTTAAGTTAAGCACATTTTTGTTCACTAAGAAAACACAATCCAGCCGTACTACAAGAGGGCGCGCAAAAGATCATACCATTAGAATCCATTTCCAATCAATGACTTCCATTGTGAACAATTTCCTCTAGAAAATTCTTCAGGTCCTTCTGCCAATATTTTTGTGTGTTAAACAGATAGGTAGCTTAGGTATGGTTACCGCTGTTCAGAAAGCTACGAGTACACCGTCCATCATTACAACAGTCATCGAATTCTTCACATCTTGGAGTAAGCTCCTCTGCCATCTCAGAATTTCACATCCTTCAAGAGTAATTTTATTGATAAATTTATCACTATTTTTAATTTGTACCATCGTATGCTGCTGACGGTCTTTCAGTACCTTCGACTTATCAACGATATCTCGTTTAGGTATTACCTTACCAAATACTGAGATTTCAAATCTGTTCCAAAAAATTGGGTCTGCACGAAGCATACGTTTGATGACGATTTTCCCCAAAATTCGTGAACTAAACCTCTAAAAAGCTAACCATGTTAAGCTTCGTAATTGAAGTAGGCAGGAAACTCAGCAATAAATGTTAGCTATCATGTGAAGCCAAGTCCATGATAGATTTTTTGACATTATATTGTTCTCTTGTAAGCCGCGATTTTTTGATAATTGTCATGCAGCGTAAATGATTCATAGTTTGAGTCATGTCATATCTCCTTTTTGAAACAAGAAACAGTAATTTCTTGCCAGCGAATGAATCATTGAGATTGCTCACATCATTTTAGCTACTTATAGTCTCATTCTG